CTGGCCCTGCCCGCGTGACATTAAGACGCTGCATACCAATCGTCTGTATATTTTTGTAACATGCGACTGCATCCATTGTGTTGAACTTATGCAAAGGCTGTCGTACGTTTCTTTTATTCCCTGCCTTAATTAAATCCGCAAATCTTTTTTTTACGTTGATATTTTCAGTTCACAAAAATTGGCAAACGTTTTACGCCGGCGGAGGGATATAGAGGTAGAAGTAAGAACTCCAAATTATTATTCTACTATCGAGGAGAGAACTAGATTTGTCATTGTCATTTACGAACAAATTAAGGAATACATGACCAGAAAGTTGGTTAGGAGACATCCCAGGGGCAACTCTATAATTGGTTGTCCAGATAGGAAATGCACAGATAATGGACAATCGGTTGCCTATCTTTTGAAATCTCAGATTTTTTGCCGAAAAATCCCCGTTATCCAAAAGCGGCCTAAGCTGCTTCCCGCGAAGTACAACAGTTGTTAATGGGACCGTACGTATTAAAAAGAAGAGGTATTGTGGTTGATCAGATAATAGTACGTTCTTTGACCAGTCTTCGTACTTCTCTGAACAGGAAGGATAAATCCTCTGCTGAATATGAAAGAACTAATTTTCTGTGTACATTGGAACAGTTTACACGATAGCTGTCTTCTTAAGGGACCCGCTCTATGATTGAAAATGCGCAGCAGAGTAACAGAGTGTATCCTACGATTTCGCGGAAACCGATTATCTCCTGCACGTTCTATTTACATTTTCCATATTCTTTCCTATTTAGCTTCAGATAAAAAAAAATAGTCGGACTTCTCTCGCGTAAGGTTGACAGCATAACGCGGGTTTTCATTTAAACGCTTGTTTACGCTCTTTATTGTTGGTGCGTTAAAAAAAAATACAGCTTCCAAAGTTTATAACTTAATTTTCTGGCACAGAACCTACCAGATTTGCAAAAAATAATTTTCTAGATTGAGTGCGCTCTTTTTACTCGACAACGATTTGGTGTATCATATTGAATTTATCTTACTTTCTTTAAAGCAAAACAGGATTTTTCGTTCTCTGAAACACTACAAATAAAACGTTTCTTGTTTGTGTGAATTTATCTTTATAATAGATAATTATAGCACCGTTATTACGTTAGATATCAAAAACACGTTATATTTTGCCCATTTTTGCTCTATTTTTCCCGCAATACACTGACATGAACTAAACACTTTCCTAGTGAACAGCATTTTGCGCCTCATGTCAATTTAATGAAAAAATAAACGGCCGCAACTTTGTTTTAAACCACAACCTCAAATTTTGCCTTTGCCTCCGTTCCCATATAAATATAATTGTTTCCGAAGAGCAATTGGCGAGCATACATATACTTTCAATAAAGTCTCATCAAGCCTTTACATTTATATGGGAGGGGGGAGGTAAAATGTAAAAGGTAAATTATGTTCAAAGTCACAAGCAAATTAGTCCAGGGGATAGAGGAGGGTTTTGGGGTAGTTACAAGCGGCTAATTAAGCGACAATTAGGGAGAGGGCGAAGGGGGAGAGGAGGATCAGAAAAGTGCCGGTAGCTAGGTGGCCGTTGGCCACGCTAAGATTGGGGCTTGCAGCAGGTTCTTTTGCGCACACAAAATCAACTTCCTTAACCAGATAGCAGTTGCTTCTGTTGTTGCTAGCAGTCGCTGACCCAAGGGAGCCTTGTCAATCACTCGAAAGTTCTGAATTCCTAACAGACAACGCCGGAAGCCGGCACGTGGCCAGAAAAAAATGCTGCAATTTGTAGGCCATCATAACAAGATTGTTTCCGTTCAACTAAACCTATACTGCTAAAAACAGCAGAAGCAACTGCTATCCAGTTAAGGAAGCCGATTTTGTGTGCGCAAAAGAACCTGCTGCAAGCCCCAAGC